CCCCTCAGGATGGTCTCGCTTACAGGTTACCGCATAATATAGGTCTTGCCAACCCTTGAATTCCTACATTAGCAGCATTAACAGCTGAATTGTGGCGAGCGCCATCGCGCGTGTGGAATTGGGTCTGCGGATAAGCAAGAGTATACGCATTGTCGGCAGTGTGTTCGGACGTCCACAGGATGTGGGGTTCGAGTGGAGACAGCCAAGCCGGGATTTCAACCCGATCATCGGAAACGGCAAAACAAAAGTTGGGTATTGCAAGAGGTGATATCATTGTTGAGAGCTCGGGACTCTCCCTCTTTTTTTGTTTTCGCTTTTCCGCTGCTTGGGACTTGTCGAAGTGTGGAGACTCCTGAAATCCACCGCTGAAATCTCCGCTAGCCCAGGGTCCCGGGGTTTGGGGGGGCGCGGAGAAAGGTCAGCGATGAATTTCAAGAGTCCGTACGGTGCTGTTATAGGGGGCGGACCTTTATGGTAGGTTAGGTTGATATCCTACCCCCTCACTCGAATTTTAAAGGCGGGGTCGTGGTGCGGGGTTCTGGGCACTAGGTGACTACGGTATCCAATTCCGGCATCCACTCGCGAATGCTGTGCTTCACGAGATTGATAACTGTAGGATACCAATGGCCGTTGGCTGTTTCCGCCTTGTTTGATAAGGCACTCAAGTCGAAACACTGTGCGCTGCTGTGCGGTAAATTATGACAGAAAAAGACGCACCTCTTGGGGCTGACCTGTCACACAAATTGCCTTCTATTGCGCATCAAGCAAGAGGGGTGGAAAAAAATAAGAATCCACTGGTAGAGTGTCAGCCGGCACGTTAGGGCAAAGTTAAAGGGATTCTATCTATGATACTCGAGTAAAATACCGGTAGCTCAGAGGAGAGCCCCTTCTCGCGAGCTCACTGTGCCGCCAGCTTATGATACTGCATAAGTTTCACCCAGGAAAGGCTTCGGTTCCCAATTTCTATCAACACAACCTTGCATTATTAGTGGACCTCAAGGCTGAGATCGTCCCACTCCAAACGCCGATAGCCCTAATTCCTTTTCCCAGAAACACACCTTGAGGAGATGTGAGAGCCGCTGTGGGTCGAGAAAAGTGAAGCGCCGTATGATAGACTACCACAATTCATGAGCCGAACGTTACCGTATTCTCCCGGGATTCGGTCCTTCGCCAAGACAACGCCTCACTTAAGGTTGGATGGTGCTAGGCATCTGAAGTTGACCCTGCAGAAGGCTGGCATCGACAGCCAAAATTAACTGTGAACATACCCAAGAACTGAACAGATAGGGGGGGGAAACAGATATAATTACCCAAAAATCGCTTTTCTTCACCTACGAACTCTATTTTTAGGATTAAGTGAGTCCCAGGCAAGAGAAATAGATTTTGTATGAATAAATACTGCACGCCAAGGAAAGGTATCTCTGGGTGTCCAACATGCCGGTATTGAGCCAAGTATGATACACGCAATTCGTCTGATCAGCACGCAAAACCCCGTCAATTGGTGATTACCTCAGCCTCATGATGTTGGACACCTAAAACCAACTTTTCCTGCATACATGGAGTCCTTTCTACAATATCTACTCGTAGATTGTAGTATATTTACCAATAAAGTCGAGATCGTACCGGTATTTCGGCTGTATTCGATGACTACTTCAGATGCCCAGCACCATAAGAGCCGTGTCATGGCGAAACCCCGTGTGGCACCGTGAAGTGCGGTATTTCAGTTTCCCCGTTCAGGCCTTATTGCCAGTATGAGTAGAATGCCATCCAGCACAAACTTCAATCACCACCTTCGTTATCACATTTGCTCCCCGATTCTTTCCCCGCATTTTGATATCATTCAGTCTGCGCTGCGTCGCAGGATATGCGTTCGGCTCCCTACCGGTACGTCGAAGGGGTAGAGGGTCATCCAGTCATGTAAATCCTTGAAACCGGTACCGGTATTCAAGCACTGTACGGTGCTCAGTGCGTTACATAGGCGATCCGCTGCACCGAGTGTATCAATACTGCCTAGCTTCCCCTGACTCGAGTATTCGTAGGCTCTTGTTGCTGCCCATACCGCAGGTATCATACCTGGACACTGCAAGCCGCGCAATGTGACGCCCACCGATCGCCTCAACATGGTGAACCCGGGAGGCGGGGAATGATGGAATCCCATGGTGAAGAGGTGCTCATCGGGACCGAGGACCTAAGCTCCATGGCCAAACTATGTTAACCAATACAGGAGGATGATCCCCAACCTCCAACGGATACACATTTACTCTACCGGAGTAGGGTTCTATCATGGATATTGACTGATCTGGGGTTATGATATCGGTATGGGTACAGGTACTCGTACTGTACCAGTCGTGCCAAGGGACGGCAAACACCACGCGACTGGTTTCCCATAATAGGGGCATCCATCCCACGCGTTGAAAAATGCTCATGCGAGTTGAAGGACCTGACCGTGTGCAACGCCTTCTTTACATTCAAATCTAGTGGATCCCCCCGAAACTTGATTCCCGAAAAATGAATGCTCTTCCGACCCCGAGGCTGAGCGCCTCTAATGCTGGTACAGCCCACAAGTACTCGAGTACCGTACAGTACCGTGCCTGTAAAAAAAAAAACAGATCGGAAAATGTGGAAATGAATCCAGGAGGATTCCGGAGTTCTGATTGGAGTGTTCTGTGGCTCGGACCAGTTGGGGAACCGTGTTTTTGGTCTGACAGGCTGGTTGGGCATGTAATAAGGTGACATTTGCACATACTTGTATGCGCAACCAACTACAAGTACGGGAAACAGCCACTGGTACGGCAGATCACCCATGCCACTTCTAGAAAGAAAGCTACGGTTACACATACCAGGTGCCGTACCCCTTTCCAAGCCCGGTGGTATCTATCGAGACGTAAGGGGCTCCGCCATTGCCACCACAAGGCAGACCCAGAAATGACAAAAAGAGAATCGCATGATTGATACAGTATGTGCAAGGAACCCACCACCACTTTAGAGCACTACGGTACCGGTATTTACTGTCTACTGTTTACTGTCTACTGTCTGGTTAGCCTACCGTACCCCTTAGCGCTCCCCATAGCATATCATAGCATATTCACTATCAATCACTCGTCTGCGCGCTACTCAAATGTGTCGGAGGTGAGTGGGAGAATCAGGACAAAGTGGGAAGATACAGACAAAGCAGTGAGCCTCGCTTCTTGGTCTCTTTCCTAATACATAGATGTGCCGTATCATACCCGTACCGATAAACTTATACATCCGGGTAAACCGATACGACTCTGGACATTTCCACAATGCGAGAAGTGGCGGGTTGCCGAGAACACGGGCACCCCTCCGCCGCATTTACTGTACAAGTACACTTGTAGGTCACGCCTTCCGACGGAAGAGTAGGATGGCACGGAATACCAAAAGTACCGTACCAATACGGTAGTGCTTTACGGCAGGTTACCAGACGCTGCTCACTGGGCGGCTGGGCGGTGAATGCCGGATCGTGAGAAGGGAGCCTGGGCTAGGGGATGTGGGTGATATTTAGGTATGACACCAGTGGTGGTCTTAGATACCGAGGAGGATTCAGGTCACCTCTGGTATACCCGAGCAAGACATAAAGTTTGCTCCAAGTTTTTTTTTATTTTTAGCAGAGGACTCTCCTATCAGGGGTTGGATCCGGGGTGTAGAACATATCAATCCGATATGGTGTTGATTCTATATTTTGCTGCACGGGATCACGTTTTGACTTATGCTTCGTTCCACACCCCACTGTTTCCTGTACAAGCACAGTTGTGGAAGGCACGGGTAGGGTAACGAAAAGCATAAGCTCAGGTAGAGCGAAGAGCGAGTGAAGTGAGCTCACCAAGAACCTGTGTTTTACCAAAACAAGTGTGAGAAAATGATGGACCGGATAATCGATTGAGATGCTAGCTAAGTGTAAGCTAGGGGGGATATATATCCCGGGGCAAACAACATATCCGGGAACCAAACGAAACTCCACGAACGATGGTGAACGAAATGAACATGGAGAAACATTTCGATTATACAGTGATAGAAGCTAGCAGGAACTCTAGGGAAATGAGCGAACAATTCACCATCGCCTAGCACAACCCGCAGCTACGGTAAAAAGAAATAACAATCAGTAAACCCCCAAAGCCAATTCCCTATTCCAAATAGCATATCCTAGAATGGGCCAGCAAAGTAGACCATACACCCGATACCGGATGCCCCATGGCTACCGGTATGATAATATAAAGTGGAGCCAACGTCATAATCCTATACCTGACTATAGAGGATATATGGAGGCCCAAGGCAGGACACACTCTAACCTGGGGGGTTCCGCTGTGAGAAATTGGACCGTAGGCAGCACCCCTTTATCCTCCAACACAAAAGGGGATTTACTATATATCATGAGGGAAGGTTTAGGTACGGGAATTAAAACTGACCACCCCCCAGACAATCTCAGACTTCACGACAAGCCAGAGCTAACAAAGCCCTAGTATTTGGGGTCAAAGAGCTACCGGTGGTCAAATTGGACAGTCACGCGATCGTGGGCTATTTATATACCGATAAAGGGCCCAGCAAACCGTCCCAACTCCGATAAACATGCAGTACCGCATCTCCGCTTAGGATGCACTAGGGGATTTCCCTTACGATAGGGTCCGTGAATACACTAGATTCCTGGAATCCCCAACGATCAACCGCCGATAAGTGCCAAACAATACCGCCGGCCCATTATTCCCACAGTTCGACCATTTTACCTTTCCAATGCATATTAGTTATCGGCATTGTGCCTCCCATCAGGGAGCCTCCAGCGCATCCCCCGATAGGCATGGCTATAACCTAGATACGGGCATTCGGGGTGCTGCAAGTACTGCATTAACCTCTGAGTATCGATTTCCGTCTCCCTCTCTTCCTTCCCGGGGGGTTAAGAACCAAGCGCTTCGTGCTTAGCTTTAGATCTATCCTCCCGCCTCCCTGCAGGAGTAGAATGCCTCTTCCACGACCCAGCGCTGTGCTAGTACTATCTCGGGCCGGGACTTGGACCGACGGACAATAGTGGAGTTTTCCGGCCAGTGCTCGATGGCGGATCGAGAATTTGGTGGATTGAGTGCAGGTGGTATTGCCCGTATGGTGGGTAGGTATTGGGTGTTTACGGTTACGCGAGGGTTGACTGGTAGCTAAATGCAGGCAGCCAAGCCTTCCATGGGTGTGGTGTTGACCGTACGAGTGAACTACCAGTGCAGCACTTCTACTCGTAGTCTTTTTCTCCGCGTCGGGAGAATGCTAGATTCTGAACTTGTAATGCGTCGTATACTCGAGTACACCAGTGATTCTACGTAGTTCTCCATAGCTGAGAACGAAAGTCTCCGGTAGACTACCCCCTAAAGGGGTAGAAGAACTGCCGTGACGGGTAGCTTTGACCTAAATATTTAAAGCATCACGGTGCCGTCCCTTCTGCTCCAGCAAGTCGGTTAAGCATTTCCCCAGGAGCAAAAACCACGAACCGGGCAATCATGGCTGCCAATCTCATAGGGGTGATCTGGGGCTTTGGTCCCCTCCGATCCGATAACCTCGCTAAATCTATCGTAAGCCTTCCTTCTAATTCCACATAATAAAAAAAACACTTAAACCTCAGTGCGTTGATCCCACTCCCGCGATATCGATAAAGAAACACAAACTACTAGTAAAGCGCTTGCATGGAACGCTGAAAAGTAATAGCGGCGCAACAGGATACCTCCGCACTGGCGTTCCGGCAGGTGCCAACGGGAAGTACTGGCACCTGCCGCTCAAGCCCGCAATTCTCTAAAGCCCGGTTGAAGCCAACTGAGGTGTTTGACATGGCCGAGCGACCAGGTGACGGGAGCACACCCAAGTCTACCGCCCCATATGCAAAAATGAGGGATCCATTCTATATTTTGTACCCGTATCACAGCACTGCTGGAGATATTTACAGGTAGCAAACTCGCCTCGCGACAAGAGCCGGCATTCATGTGGTGACATGAATGTGTTAATAAAGTTATCAAGGATTGAAGACAAGGCTTTTCCGGATCGAGACGGAGAAGTTGAGGACTGCTGCGGAATCCCTGATATGAATACGAGCGGGTATTCATGCGGTGGGCTTTAACCGCGACGGATAGAGTGAGGGAGTAGGGTGGCACAGTGGCATTCCTTACAGGAGGTTGGATATTGACATGGTGGTGCGAGAACTGTGGAAGGTTACTCGCACCATTATTGGTGAACACTCTTGGCGAATAGCTTTTGGAGGGTACAGAAGAATCAGGGGTATCATGATAGTGTTGGTGACAGATGACCCCATACCCGAGGGCGGAAGCGCTGGGAAAATTTTGTTGCTGGGATCAGGTAGTTGTGTAGCGACCCGCAATTCCACAAATTTCCGTAAGTTCAATAGCGACAACAAATCATCGCACCTATTCTCCTCGTGCTATGCATCCTCCAAATCTTTGAAGTGGCGAAGGCTGAATACCGAAATCAAGCATCACGTTATCGAGAAATTACTTTGTTTCTCCAATTTGCCCGCTCGCTACGCTGCACCCTCAATGGCCACTCAGGCTCATTTATCCCATGTTTGTGCTCGAAAAGCCCGAAAATCGTGGCGGAGCCCAATATCGGTGGTCGCACAGCCTGCCATAACCAAGAATCTCCTCCCCTACCGTAATCGATAGGCCAATGCCCTCCCTTCAGTTCACTTCGGCAAAACAAACCAATGAGACATAACGCTTTTGCACTTTCGGCAAACGCCAATATGTAAGGTACGAGTATAGGTACCACCCTAAAAGACCCCCTGAACCCGGATCCCTCACCCAAAATACTCTGCTCGAGGACGGTGGACAGTCCCTGTACCGTACTCGTACAACCTCTCCTCGACTGGGCTGGAACAAGACCTTGTGAAATGTGCAGTTCCAAAGTCGGACAGACCGAAGCACTCAACTCTATTTGCGACTTTTGATCGCCATCTACGCGCATTAATCTTACTCTGATTACTCATATAACATGGAAAGGGGAAGGTCCAATAGCGGTCTTTTTGGAGCGGGCGCGAAGTTACTCTCTGTTATAACTTATAACAGAGTACCGTTAGGGTACAAGAGCGAGAGTATGAGATGCTATTCTGGTGTTCTAGTCTTTAATTTCGTGCCAGAGGTGCGGGGTGAGTTTAAATTTAGGGTACGGTCGGGCAGAAGTGCTGTGGGAGTACAATACCGTACCGTACGTGAAATGGGGCTTCGGGAGTAACTACCTGGATTGAGGGATGTCAAACATCGGGACAGGCTTTTCGGGGGGTAGCCACAGTCACACTCATAGGAGCGGCGGGGGGGGGGGGGGAGGGGGGAAGTGAGTGAGCTACCGTGTTGCGAATGTAGGGGGTCAAAAGTGTGGGAGGGGTTAATATTGAAAACCACGAGGCAAGCAGGGGACGCAGAAATTGTTGATCAAACAGTGGATACGGTATATATAACACCCTCGATTCCCATCCTTAGTTCCTATCAACTGTCTGCCGAACGCTGATATCTCCCTCCAGATTGATCTTCCCCACTCTCCTTTCTGTACCCACCACTTACACAATCACTTGTGTGTCCACTCCTTCAAGACTTCAAGATGGGCGCCTACAGAGACCAGCACATAGTCGAGCAACCCCCATGGCTAAAGTTCATACGCATAGCCCAAGTAGGCCTCTCATTACTCATTCTCGCTCTGGCAGCTTTCGCCTTGAGCGCAATCCCGTATGGGAACACTTTCGGCACGTTTGGGTTCAACATCTTCACCGTACATCCCCTCTCCTTCTTCCTTCGCCGACCTGACCATACTAACAGTAAACTTTCAGTGCATCTTCACCCTCATAGTGGGCAGTTACCTCATCTTAACCCCCATTAAGGCCCCAAAACTATACAATTGCTGGGCCGCCCTCGTCCTTGAAATCTTCGGCGTGATCTTCTGGCTATCTGCGTTTGCGACGCTGGCATCATGGGCTTCACTGGGACTGCTTACCATCGGTGCCCTTGACAAGCGCGATGCTAAAAAATCTTCCTCCTCCTCCTCCTCCTCCTCCTCATCGTCTTCAGATACCTCCTTTAACTCCGACTACTATAATCGACTACAAAAGGAAGCAGAGGATCGGTATGCGAAGTACCAAGCTGGGTGGAGATGCGCTGGGGCTGCGGCCGGTCTGGGAGGAATTGTTTGGTGAATCACCCTTACCTTGTTCGATAAATGTGAGGAAGCGATATCTAACTGGGGTGATAGGATACTGTTTATGATTACCCTGATCACTTACTCCATCTTCCTGCATCGCCACAGAATGAACCCGGAGAACAAGGGCCTGCCCGATAACGGTACCCCCGCCAGGGATGGCGGCGAGGCGGGAGTCCCACGCTCAGGTGCGGCGGAGGTGAAAGGGCATGAGATGGGGAGCGTGCATGTCGGTGCCGTGGGTGGGGAGTACCCTAGGCCCTATTAACTTTGACTTTCTATATTCACACCCGTCTTCCTTTTTAATTTCTCCTTTTCACTCATGGGTGTCTTTTTTTTCATCTTATTATCCTATCCGTAGTATGGTAGCTAGCTTGACGTTGGCAGTTCTGAGCAATTTTTTATTATTAACGCGGGGTGATGGTGGGTTATTCACGATTTATTAGGACTTGGGAGCGGAGTGTGGGGGGTTTTTTCGGATCATATAAATCTATATTTCATTACTCAATTTTTTTTTTCCTTCCTTCCTCAACACTGTCTGTACTGTACAGTACCAACGATCTATATCCGCACGAAATTAATACCCTCCCCCCTCCCACATTAATTCTCACCGCGCATGCTATTGAAACCGCACACGTTTCCGACACAAAACCAAACTACCCACGCCGAAACGGACCGAGTGACGATGGATGAACGACCATGTGCATGTGCCGCGCGTCTCAGCCGTGTGCGCTTTCTCGGGATATGATATGACAGCCTCGTCTTCAGGAAATCCCGGGCGGGGGTTTTGGAGAAAGAAAGAGACCATTGGAGTTGTTTAGCATGGTTATTTATCCCGGGGTGTGGGAATACGACGCTTCTGTTTGGGGTCAACTTATGCAATTAGGCAAGAACGATGGGCGGACCATGGATCTGATACCCTAATCGTCGCTTTTGAAACTTTTTTTTTTCGACTGAGACCCGACTAGGAGATTATTCTGCTACTTGTGCATACTTGTACAGTACAGTAGGCCCCCCTATCATATGAGATCTAGCATGACTGCGGGTGCCTTGGCGTAGTGGGAAGATACGCACCCCACTTTGTAGTAAGTACCTTACCATACACGCACAGTGCTGTGCGTGTACTGTTCAGTATTTCGGCTAAGCGCATTGATCTTTTAAAGCGCACCGGTACTGTACCGCACTGCGCAGTATTCAGTGTGCACAAACGGAAGCCCTATGGACGCACACAATATGGGCCGTAGATGCTTCGGATGTTTGCCCCTGTCTCATAGCTTTCCTGTACCTGCACCGTAAATTTATGTTTCTGCGCCAGGTGTTACGGACGGACGGAAAAAAGGCTCGAGAAAACGGCGGCGGCTCAAATCTACACACCCCAACGAGAGGAAAGAAGGAAACTCTTGCTCTACGGTACGGTTATCTCTGCCGTGTGGTTGTGGCGATAACCCACCACACCACGGGTTTGTTTCATGGTGGGTTGTACGGCTGTGATTCAGAATCTGGCCAGGTTCTTATTCTTATTGTGATGGAGAGAGAGACCTTTCGTATCGTATCCAATGGTCTCTCTTTATTTTTTTATTATTTTTTAGGTTTCCGTAATTGGCAAACGGTCGTTACAATTCTTCAGATTCTTTCTTGCGTACTGTACTGTACCGGTAAATTGCCTCACGACCAGGTTTGCGAGGATGTAATGCTTGTACTAGTACAAGTACATTCCTGGGAATTCCTGTTACATGTTCCCCTGACGGGGGGGAGCGCTGTACTTTACTCGTACTAGTATCCCACAATACGAGTTTTGGGTTTCTACATGTAGTGTACGGGGGGATAGCGATACGCACGGACTTTTTGGCATACAGTACGAGTATCATGCCGGTATTTTTTCCTTACAAGTACGTTAATCCCTGATACCGGATACGGTACCTCCTGCCTGCCTGCCTTTAACGACCATCTATCTACGAGTAATATCTCGGCAAATCACGATAGCAGCCCACGATAGGAGTGATTGTGCAAGCTGACGGAATTGCGAAATCTGGTTAATGAGATCTGACACAGTCAGAGTAAGTTGCTCAGGCTATACCGTGTCCGGAAGGCACTAAGTCAATCCCCTCAGGAACATTTGTCTCTTGTCACGAAGTTTAGTCTAGCGAGTGAAAGGAGATGGCGAATTCTGGAGGTTTTTACTGTACTAGTACAAGTACAGTATTAGGGTGGACGATAATTGGTGAAACTATTACGCTATTGAGAATGATTGACCGATTAACACTTCCCGTTTTAAATCCCTGCTCGACATTATACTAGCACCTTTATGGCATAAAATCTGCTTTCGTGCTCGTATCTGTAATTTCTTTCCTTTAGGCGTGTGTCTGGCGTGTACTTGTACACAAATATCCTGACACAGTATTCCCTATGGTTTCGGATTTTTTGTGTTTTTATTGGGAATACGGGTGGACGGCTTGCGCAAGGAGGGGGCGGCTGCAGGATCAATTGATGTATGTTTCGTTAAAGGTCATGGAGAAAAAAAATATGTAAAATTATGGCCGTGACTTTTGGTAGCCTCGCGAAGGGGATAAAATGAGTGATTATCAAAGAAGAAATCATACTGGGAATGATACTGTAGTTATTGCGGTATCACTCGCGCTTGGTAATGGCCGGTGGTGGGCAAGTTGTGATACGAGCCCTCGCAAGCCGCAGCTGACAAGACCCGAATGGACGAAAGAGAGTGTATGGGCTGCAAAAGTGGGCTGGATTAATGGATCGTATCATACCTTACTCATCAAGGATTAGCCATGGACCCGGTTAACTACCACTAAGGCAGAACCATAGCGGGATTCACTACGGTGACAGGCGTTCTTTAGAAATTAGCCCCAGCCAATCCTGCGTACCGGTAGTGTTGAATCCGGCTGCAAATTTGTCGAAAGAAAATTGAAATGTATACAATTGGTAAGACTGATCCAGGGGTTTTTTAGGTTCCTATCACAATCACCTGAGATAGAGAAGATTTACAATCAACAGAAGTCAGAAGTTGCTTCTTTCCAGAGAAGAAATGGGGTACAAATGAGGAGTTTGGTGGATTTGAGATCGATATGATTGGGCTAGTGACGAGGGAAGGTCCAGAGTAGTGTTGGTTCTATAATGTGGTGACTAGCCGATGAAAAGAGGGTACAACTAGGGATGGATGGAGAGGGGGTTGGAGATAATGTGTGTTTTAAAACTACCTCTGCAAATGTTAGGATTTGTACGGATACTATAGCACAGTTTTGGGTGGAGATACAATAAATTCGGGCTTACTCGTACAGCAAGATCTTGCTTGGACCTTAGACTTACCTCCCCCGGCATCATCTCCTAGCGCAGCCGAGAGCTGAGGACGCTCCTTCCACTGGGCTGATGTCGTGATTTATAGGAATATTTGATACCCACGAATATACCAAATCTCAAGGCTTTTTTCCGGCATTCCAGTCCTTATGATAAACTTTGACAGTTGCGGTGTCGTTCATTTTCGAGTGGAGGGCCATTTCTTTTCTATACCACATTTCTTATGGCGCTGAGGGGAGGGCAGGTCTACTTTCTGTATGCCTTAACCTTTCTTGTGATACCTGCTAAAGAGTAATCTTTATTAGATATTCCAATACCCCCACCGGCATGTATTCAGTTTTTAACTTTTATCGAAATAATTCTTAATCACCAGGCTCTTCCGAAGCTTGCCCAGGGCGGAGAGAATAGGCCCTGAGAGTACAGAAAAGGTAACCTCAGGAGTTTTCTCAAAGTAGTTGCCTGTCAACATTCTTTCAGTTTGCTTTCTCTATTAGAGATGTTTTGGTATCTACCTCCAGACGCAGGCCAGAGTACGATATAATACTATACCGACGGAGCACAGATTAAATCCCCAAAACATCTGCAGCGTGCAGCGTTAGGATGCACCCATAGCGAGCCGGAACTGGTTCTCGGCCCCTGCCGCAGTCCGCCATAACTTGTAGTCATGCTCTGGAGCTAAGTGCTTTCCCGGGGGGGTGGCCAAATACAGCGCGACCAAAGTGACACAAAGAGTAGACCAGCCCACCGTAGTGAGCAACCCCAAGTTAATTTTACCCAAAACCGCGGTCTATGGGGCATGAAAGCTTATGGCAAGAATTAAATTCGAATACTTGTACATAAAAGCATGTGTTTGCTTGCCACATGTCCTCCATCCCCTAGTTTCTGTCATTGGCACAGAGATCACAAGAAGATGTAAGATTTGCAATAAGGAAACGGTTCCCGCGGTAGGGAAGGAGGGAGAAAGACCAATGCGCCTTATGAGGCTGGTCCAGGGGCGGGCTTTCTCTACCGGTGACCCCGGCAAGTACTGAAAGTATCATAATCGGAACCTTCTTTTGTTTCCCATTTCCACCGTTTCTCTGGCAAGCACAACCTGTCGGGTGAATACTCCTTCCCCGGGAGCGTAGATTCGCCTAGAAGTTGCCCGGATGGGTTGTCCTCCCCAATTCACCCGGAAAGCCTTTGAGAGCAGCAATAGCAATGTCACGGGATGTCGTGACTCTCATAATTACACCTTATCTCCCCACTTCTGCTCTTAAAGATCCTCGCAAGGTAAGGTTCTAGGCTGGTGTGGCTTCGTGCTTTACCGGTAGTCTAGTAACCGTACCCTCCAAGCTACCCGGCACTCGCTGTCGCTCTGGATGCACATCTCTCCGGGGGAATTATTCCATCTATCTCACAAGCCACAGCGGTAGAATGTACAGTAATATCACAGTTTAGAGCCCCAACTTAATTCTCAACCCCCGTATTTTTTTTTTTCCATCCTGTGGAATACCATCACCTTCCCTTCCCCTCCCTCTTCACTCACTCACATCTCTACGTGAGGTGGGTTAGATTGGAGGTTATACAATCCTGAGTAAGTCATGAGTCAAGTTATTCTAGAGACCAGAGTGCCCGGTAAGTAACCCGGTGTGAAAAACTGTGAAGGTCCTAATGCTTCCCCGTGAAGACGATAGCAGAAGCTACTATAGCTCTCCAAAAACGCTTACATATTTTCCCCCAAATGATGCAGCAGCTCCTCATGTATCAGACATCTCAATTGACCGCATAGGCGAGCGAGCACCCTTAGTTCACTCGATCGCCGGGCACTGAAATCCCTTACCACCGTTCATCTCGTGGAAAAGAAAACGTCATACCTCTGATCCAAAATCTCGCGAATCCCAATGATAGCCAGAACATTTACAAGTACTTAGGGTAGTAGTGCCCCCATAGCCCCTCTGTTCTGATAGCGTGTAAGGATCAGGGCCATATACAGCACAACAATTTAACTACAATACACCCAGAGATCTGCCATAACGCACTATACCTGGAATCTATCTTTCGATCCCCGGAAGCTCCTGAGCCAAGTTCGCACTCCCGGTGGCTCACAGCGAATCACTCGTATTCGGAATCCTACCGGAGAAAGGTGGGTTTAGAAGTGTGGAAAATCAACTTCTAAATTCCGAATTTTCTAAAAATCTGAACCCTCCCCACAATGCTGTGGGATAGAGTGCCTGGATCGGAATTCTTCCTGTAGTTTATTACGAAAATTGAATTTACACCCCCCTCTGGTTCAGAATAGAAAAGGTTCAGAAACCTGGAAACCTGGATGCCGTTGGTCAAAACACCACGGGACCACCATTCTCCACAACTCGGACATTGTTTCCCGATACACAAAATAGAGAATTGACAAGCTGCTGTGGGGCACAATCCTATGAGAGATTGTTTCCCGGTTGTAACTATTAAGTATCACATGTGTGGTTTCATTTTGCTGTAATGATTGTAATCTAGCAGTCCAGAAAACCGTTTCCCCTACAGAATTGGCTGCGATACTCGAGTAAATTACAGGTTTTTGGTCCAAACTATGAGTAGATTTTTCTAAATTCCTACCGCAAGTCCTCCACTAAAATTTTTAGGTGACGAGTGCCAAGACTTTGCGGCTCCCCATCCCACGTGCTAGCATTGCCGCCCTCGATTGGCCGAAGCCTCAACAACCCAGGTAACCTCAAACCCAATAAATCAGCCGTTAACCTCGCCCTCCTGTTCCTCACCCGAGCATTCCGAACGCCAAACATGCCTCTGTCAGCAATATTTAGGTCCCTACAGAGCAATCGGCCGGATGCCTACCAGGCCGTGAAGGGGGGCCTGGGCCTTCGGCTGTGGGAGATTGTGGTGAATTATTGGGATCTAGGGTTCACTGCTTTCGGTGGCCCTCCAGTGCATTTTCAGATTATGCGCAAGAGATTTGTGGATGGTGAGCATGGAAGGATTCCTTGGATTGATGAACAAACTGTGAGTCTTTGTCTTTGGGTAGTTGTTGGGAGCGCTGTGCTGATTTGGGTACCGGTAGTATCAAGAGTTGTTTGCGATCTGCCAGGCACTACCCGGACCGGGGAGCACAAAGTTTGCCTTTTGTGTCGCTTTGATACATGCTGGATTTATTCCGGCTGTCCTCGCATTCCTCATCTGGAGGTTTGTTTGAGTATGCTCCGATTCTAAAGTTCGTCTAATGAGTTTTAGCCTTCCGGGCGCAGTTGGTATGTTTGCTTTGGCTCTCGGGGTTGAGAGAATAGACGAGGTTCTTCCAAACCTAGTTTATGCCCTACTATCTGGCCTCAATGCCAGCACGGTTGGTATTATCGCCGTGGCGGCTGTCCAGGTAACACCCTCGTCTCTATTTTTAATTAGCTTGGCTGACTGATCGCCTTAGCTCGCGGAAAAATCTATCACGGATCCTCTTACCCGTATGCTTGTCATACTGGGAGCGTGTGCCGGACTTCCGTATAATGCACTATGGTACTTTCCGGTATTGATGGCCATTGGAGGCACGGTCACCGTCTTCTGGGATCTTTGGGGACGTGCCAAGTTTGGCCGTATGAGGGCTCGGTTCAGCCGGAAAAACAGGAACGAACAAAGGGAGGCTGAGGAGTCTACTGCATCCGGTGCTGTCCCGCTGGAAACCAGAAGCCCTACTCGGGACGGGGGTCTCCAGAGACGGGCAGCCGGCCGTGTTGAGGCAAGCGGGGCAGCAACAGCTCAAACGCCGAGAAACTCGGTGGAGGAGATTATACCCGAGGGGAATGCGACTCCACAACCTCAGGGAATTGACACCGTTTCCCATGGTATTCCGGTGAAGGTCGGGATTTTGATCATCATTGGATTTTTTGGTAGTTGTCCTCCTCGAACCTTTGGCGGGTTACACTGACGGAATTTAGTCTCCTTCATTGCTTTGATGACTGTCCGTGGACTCGATAACACTCCATTGGAGTTCGACCTGTTTGCGAATATGTATCTTGCCGGAACCATTATATTTGGTGGAGGGCCAGTCGTCATTCCGCTTCTCCGTGAATACGTCGTCGAGCCCGGATGGGTTTCGTCCCGTGACTTCCTTCTTGGCCTTGCTATCATCCAAGCTTTCCCTGGACCAAACTTCAATTGTGAGTCCACTATCCCCTCCTCCTCTCCCCACCTACACCCGGTTAACAATTCTTTAGTTGCAGTATATCTCGGAGCCCTTACACTCAATCGTGATTCGTCCTCTGTTCTTGGCGCCTTCTTAGGGTATCTAGGAATCTTCTTCCCAGGAATCACCCTCTCCATCGGTGTTCAATCAATTTGGCGAGTCCTACGAACCAAACCGGCCGTTGTCTCGTTGCTCCGTGGTGTGAACTCCACAGCTGTGGGCCTCGTCTTCACCGCAGTGTATCGGCTTTGGGAAATCGGATATCTGCAAGGCGGCCAAGAGGGAAGCGGAAGCCTAGGATTAGACCCCTGGTGGGTCGTGGTAGCAGCCGTGACTTTTTCGAGCGTCCAGTGGTGGAATGTGCCGCCGCCGGTCGCGATTCTTGGAGGCGCTATCGGAGGAATCGCCTGGTGGGGCGTTGTGCGGTAGATATATGTTAGCAAGTCGGTGCAAAATAATTGGTTGTAATCAGGCGAAGTAAAGTCATATGTAACTTCTTACTTGTAGATAAAGGCCTAAATTTAACTGCGGCGGCAGGCCCCGCGATACGGTATCGTAATGGTTAGTTGGTAGCCGAAATTCATTCCTTGATTGTACATTTGTGGGATCATAGCCTTAGAATTGGACACGTGTATAAATAACCCACGAATGAACCCCCGTCCCTTTCTCCAGTCAAGTTCGCAGGGGGGCTGTTTTCCGTGAACAAAAAAAGGATTTCCACCGTCCGGCTACAATAGCCACAAACTGTAAATATCCCCGAACAGGACCCGTGGCTGGCGGGCATGGCTCCCCACCCCCCGCACCGCAGATTCCCTAACGGGAACGAAACATAAGCTTCGTTAGAGTCTCAGCAATGAACACCTTCAAGGATGGGTGTTACACGCGCAATCCAAAAACTCCTATCAATCGCGGGAGATTGCAAACTATAAAGGAGTCAAGTTGAGCCATCGTCTTAGGTCTGTTTGCTTCCATCTCCGTACTCGTACACCTTTTCCACACATTTATTCCCCCCCCTCCATCAACCCTTGCTTACTATCATACCATAAAAACACTCCCATGCTGATTCTCTAGAAATGGCACACATTTTCATGGTACGGTACACATGTGAACGGTTTCCCGCAACCATCCCCCCGGGTCCCGAATTCTGGGTTCCAGATAACCCGGTCACAAGATATCGGGGAATTTCAATCCTGGTCTTGCCGTGGCCGCCAGCTTGCTGCCACGTTTGGCACCGCCCCCCAACCCCCTTCCGCCGTCCCCAGCCTACTCTAACCGCGAGTGATTATTGATGAACACCGTCGGTACTTTGCCCACTTGCTTATCGGCCAGCGCAAGTTAATCACAGTTCGACTGATCGTCGCTGAGGCGATCGCGGCCGATATGGAGAGAGCTTTCCGGGTTATCACATGGCACCCTAAAGTCTGGTATTGGGTTCAATACTACACCGTTCCTCCTAAGGGATCGAGAGCTCGGTGGGAATGCCGGACGATGCTTCCCACGAGTGTGCCTCAGCGCAGGAGCGCGACCGGAATTGAGCCGGGACTACCATCGCTAAAATTGTTTAGGGGCTGAAAGAAAATCACCCACCTACTCGAATATGCTCTCCGGTCATTCAAGACCAATCGGAGAACTAGCAAGAAGCACCATCACCGAGACATGCACAAATACAGCACGGTATATAGCTACGGTACCCGAGAACCGCATCGTGATATCCATCAAATGGCATCCGGCGGGATCAATAACTGCCGGCAGTATTAACTCTGATATCCTCGCGTTCAAGTTAGGACCGAATAATGCGCGATTATATTTGTCTCGAACTTTATTTTGACATCCGCTAGATACCTAATAAATTCTAGGATGATGCCCGGTAGGGAGAAATTTCATTAACTATATCAGGAATTTCTCCACTAAGCTTTGTATCGCAGCGGTGAGAATGAACCTAAGCCATCCCGGCCCGTTGTGTGGAGATACGGGTGTTCGATTCTACGGTAGAACATTCCGGACAGCCCCGACGAATTGGGTATACCCATCCTCATGCTATAATAGGAGCGGGGCTAGCGCTGTACCGGCAGGCCGATAAAACTTCTGATCTTCCGGGTTTTAAATCCATCTACACATGTGGAGATACTCGTGCAACTTCGTAAGCACCGCCTCCCTGATATATCTTGACCGCGAGCTATCTGATGCCGGCGCGTACCGGTACGTGTGGGCGCTTGAGAGGAATTTCAATTTTTAACCGATGATGGCATAGGTATTATGTCGAAGATAGCTGATAGCAGTTTTAATCATATGTTGATGGGTCACTGCGTCTCCTCACTCAAGAGAAATTTGCCCCCGCAATTGAATTAATCTTTGGTAACGCATGTTCTGCATGTGTGCTGCGAACCGTGCAGTTCGCATATTGGCCATGATTTACAGTATATGACGTTTCTCCCGCCAATCTGGCGAGATTGTTCCGACAAATTTAGAGCGAGAGACTGAAGCGCATAGAAGTGCAGGATACGGTTTTCCGGAGTTCTGAACCCCGGTGAAAGCCCTGCAGATCTGGTCAGTTGAAGCAGGCTCGGCGATGAGCTGATCGTGAAACCCTTCAAAAATTTCGATCGCTAGCTGTGTTGGCGCCCCTGACTGCTCAATGTGGGAGGGCATTTGTCGCCGGCAGTGTGGGACGGTTTCTAGGCAATACGATGGTGGAATTTGGCGATACCGGTTCTCCCGCTGGGGATCGAACCAGTTCCACAGGTCGGACAGAAACAATGGCTTAGATGGAGAATCATGTTGTTGCCTTTATATACTTCTGAATCTTGTCGCCGACGTGGCGGTTGATTGCCGTATCAGTGCTCGAGTACAGTACCTTACTCGTAATTTACTGGGGAAAAGGGAAATCGACACATCGATAGGGAACCCTACATATCACCGTTCCACAAGCTATCCTAAAAAACCACTTCCGGTCGCAACACCCTGGTCCCCTCCTGTCGCTTCTCACCCCCCTCACGAAATCAGATCCACAACATCAACGTTACACCTGTATCTTTTCGGGCACCGAAAGCGCACCATCAGCGCGGGGTCGGGAAAACCCCCGGCAAACCTTTGGGCCAACAAAGGTGCCAGGGAGTCCAGTAACTTCGTCTAGGCTTGGTCTCTGACCAGAGATTGGACAGAGGAAACTCTCTATGCGATGTTGCAGGGAACTACCGGTACCGGCCGCACCGGTACTCGCACGAGAGCAAGCAAGAAGTACCGATACCCAAAAACAGGGGTCCTGAATTTGTACAGTACAGTATGGGCGCTGAGATACGCACGGATTTTTTGCCACATACCGGTATTTGAGAATCCCTGTTTTCGGGCACTTCTTTCCTGCCACGAGAGGTGATTCATTGCTAAAGACATTCTAGTGCTCAAGTAAAGATTCTGGCCCAATTTAAATCCCAGGTTTACCCCACGCTCTTCGAGAGACTGGAAAGCCACAATCCCTTCGCGGAGGTTTATTTGCCTCAGTACTCCTGCCTTTATCTCTTTTTTTTTCAGCAACTTTGCCCCCCGACACCCTTAACGGCGCCCATCCCACCTACCTACCCGAAGCCTGCCACAAGCTCTTGGGCATTTACCCAGATCGTGGGGTTGTGATTACTTTTTTTCCCGCCTGGGAGAAGCGAGAGAAAGTGGCTCCTGGTTTTAAAAAATCCGCCTTCCCGAAAGTTCGTTTCACTCTTCCCCCGTGCTACCAGTGCAACACTTGCGTTTGCGGGGTCTCTGAACGTTTATCGCACCCACAACCGGACAACGGAGGAAAAGAACCATGGTAAGACTGCCAGTTGCCGATGAAACTTGTTCTCGACCTCAGCCCATTCTCGACCATCTCTGACCCGTCTTAGGAACAAAAACCGATGGAAGAAAATGTGCAGCAGGACAGAAGAGCTGATTCTGGTATCTCTGGGGTGGTACCCCCTCAGTCCCGTGCCGAAAAGTGGGTTCCCCCATTCCCACAATCTCTGCCCGTACACAACTCCGTATTGACTGGGTCTGACAGCTATCTTGGGACCGAGGAGGAGACTTTTTCTGTTTCGTCGTCGATACTCGATTACACATATGAGAACGGAAGGCGATACCATGCGTTTCGACAGGGCATGACCTCTCTCTTTTACACTATTTTCCGCCAGAAAACTAACTATAATAGGGGCATATTACGCGCCGAATGATGAGGTTCGCCCTAGTTCGGTAGCAAGGGAGTCAAACTAACAATACATAGAATCAAAGCAATCAACTAGATATCTAGTATGTGTCCCGCCGCTGAGTGTTGAAGACACAGCTAACCACCAAAAAGTCATCACATATACCTCCTTCTCCTGGGCGGAGATCTTTACGTAGCGCCGATAGAGCGACCAAAGGTGATTCTTATTCCCCCGGTCTGTTAAAAATGCTAAACGCTTCATGCAATAGCGAATTTTGGACGTTGGGACCGGGACAGGAATGTGCGTCAAGATCTCCCACCCACTGATATTCCTCGTACAATGGCGTTCGGTAGCTGACTTACACCGCAACCACCAGTTGGGCAATGGACATGGCCGACAAGTTCCCAGATGCAGAGGTAGTCTAACGCCTTCCTCCCAGTCATATATAAGAGACGCCACTAAGCGGCCTTTAATGTTGGGTTTAGGTTATCGGGACCGGTAAGGCAGCACTCTATCATTTAATATTGTGTGACCAAACAAATGCTAATAGATTGGGCAGACCTTTCCCCAATACAGCCCGAATGGTATGTCACTCTTCAAACGGTTCCGATAATTTGTTTGCGCGTTTGGAAAGCCGGTATCAATAGACATTGGGGGAGAATTATATGGTTAATCATTTGTGTTCATCCGCCTCAATAGGGTTCCCCCGAACGTCCACTTTGAAATCGACGATGCGGAAAGCCCCTGGACTTATCCCGAAAACTTTTTCGATTTTATCCACATCCGCTGCCTTTTCGGTGCCATTCTTGACTGGCCAGCGCTACTCAAACAGTGTTATAAGTAAGAATTCGCATTGCTCCGTCGATTCTCCCCGCGTCTGAACTGACACGTGGTTGAAGACACCTGGCGCCCGGCGGCTGGATAGAAGTCGTCGAGCTTAAACTCCCGTATGAATCCGACGACGGAACCTTAACGAAGGACACCTACCTCTACAAATGGTGCGAATACGCCCTCGAAAGCGGTGAGAAGTCTGGCAGGAGATTTGATGTCACCGATAAAGTATACGGATGGCTAGGCTCTGCCGGGTTCACAGATCTGCGGGAAAGAAACCTGAGGTATGTGTGGGTGGTTCGTGAAGGGGCAGGGCGTCTGAAGGAAGGAGTCAAACCCCGCTGACTATATTATGGGCAGGGTGCCGGTTGGCCCTTGGCCAAAGGATCCCAAAGAGAAGGAAGTTGGGAAATACAATCTTTTAAATCTCTTGGAAGGCATGGTGGGAACTTACCCCCCCTCCCCACCGCACGACACACATGCACACACTAGAGATGCAGAAGGTTGATTAAAAACCAAAAATAGGATGGCTTCACTACGGCACTTCTGACAAGGTTTCTTGACGTAAGTTTACCGCACCCACTCCTGTATCCCCCTACTAATATTCCCTAGTGGAAACCAATCGAAGTACAAGCATTCTATGGTAATGTGCGCAACGAAATGACGAACCAGAGAATTCACTCATACTTTAGACAGTAAGCCTCCATCCATTCGGTCACACTTCATCATTACTTTCATTTGCTCCAACCAACCGAATACTTATATGAATCGTTGAATAGATATTACTGGGCCGGCCAGAAACCGATACCTACCGTATGAAGTAAAATCCAGGGGCTAGATTCGCCCCCTCCGTTTTTTTCTTTTCTTTCAAAACACATTCTTTCATATAATATATGCTGAACTGTGGCGATGCTCGGTTTATATGAAAGATGCTGTTAAATGCGGTTTAGTGAATGAAGCCCTGGTATCTGCCAAGTTACGGAGGAGAGTCCTTGTTGGGGATTCGATACTTGTCTAGTTTTTTTCTTTTTCCTTTTTTTTTTACCCGCTCTGTTGTCTTCTAGCCATGCTGTTGCCCTCCACCATCCCCTCCCCAATTTTTCAAAGTATTTGGGAAACGTAATCTATCTGTGAATTTGAGGCTCAAGATAAAATCGCAAGGCCCTCCCGCCTATCTCGTGCACCCACCCGGTACACAGACCGATGAATATCTGCCCGTCAAGACATCGTCCCGTGACCAGGAGCAGCGATTTGAGACTAGTCTAGGTCGTGCAGGTATTAGAGCATCGTAACCCAACCAAGCCACTTTCAGTAATAGTCCCCCATAATATGGTATCATCTGATATGATAATATGATATAGACCACGAGCCACGCCCGCTCACTCCCAATCACTCGCCCAACACTGCGCATCTCAGCGTCGGAAATATATGTATAACTTTATCATGATGGCAGTGGAAGACCGATTGACCGAGTAACTACATATATATCTAACGAACGGATGGAAACATGAACCGAGCATATATCCCCATATCCATATCCGCGACATCAAATATTCTCCTGGTATCTGACCCCGTGCCCAGAGTTCAAAGTAGTATCATCGTGAGTGGTAGGGAGCCGACGCAAAATACCAGATTTCCGGCAAGCGCTCAGTCAGTACTCGGGACCTAAAACCCCCTCTTTATCCCATTTCCCGTGGAAGCCGAAGCCCACCACGATCTTTGTCTCGGCCCTGGCAAGCTCCGTCATATTCCTGGCGTCCAGTACCAATAGGTACGACCTCCCGGAGACCCCGTCCAGCACAACGCTCAGAAGCACTCCGTCGTCCTCGGCTGAGCCCGAGGGGTCGGGGACGAAGATGGCCTCACCGGGGGTGTGGGCGTGCACTTGCCAGTGGGTCGCGGAGTTGGTTGCTGTGTCGTATTTTAGGATGCCGTCCATGAAGTTTGAAGCGGTGGTTGAGGTTACTGCGTAGATGTAACTGCGTTGTTAGTATCGCGGATAGTGGCCGGAGGGGGGGGGAAGGTACCGATTTTTCTTAGCTACAAAGAGGGGATTGACGGTTGGTAATTCCATTCCCCATTCACTGGCTACTGAGAATTCCCGCACGGCGGGGAGTACCTTGCCGTTCGTCTTGGGTATGTTCGCTAGCCTCCAGCGGGTAAGTCTCGTTCTCCCGCGCCCCAACCAAGCTTTCCCGTTCTCGACCTCGGTAGAGAGGATGTTCTCGTAGTAGAACCGCTTTATAACGTCCACGTTGTCATAGCTCAGCGCTTCGAGTACCAAGTCCCCATCCCCCTCCTCCCACGCGCCGACCGTATGAAAGACAAAGAACGGAACGTCATCAACGAACTTGGCGACAACCCCCTTCCCACCCTTCCTGTCAATAACATAGAAGAAGCACCTGGAGCGCGGATCCCAATCTGCAATTGCGTCTACAAGGTTCTTCTCCCAGATGCACCTGGCGCCTCGCCACGCGAAGCGCGAGTTCCAGATGCAGAGGACGACGTAGTCCTCCGACATCCAGAACGAGTGTATGTACGCTGGAGGTGCGTCCCTGATCGTTGCGAGCACCTCGGTGGCACCGGTGTCCCTGCGAGTGCGGAAGACGCGGTATCCGGAGGTTCTGAGGCGCATATCCAGGTTGTAGTTGTACAGATCACCCGTGAGTGGGTCTGTGCGGGCGTGTGCGGCGCTTAGTGGGCCGCGGAGGTCGGGGTGTAGGTCCCGTTGTAGCAGGTACTTCTCCGGCTTTAGATTACTCCCGTTGAGGAGTTGCACCACCGCTGCATCGGTCTTCACCACTATTCCCCCCCCTGCATCGGCGCCGGGAAAGTCGGTGGATATAGTAACGCCCACATTTATACAACTGTTGACCTCCTCCTTGTCGCTCTTGTCTACCGTTGCACGAGGGCTACCAGCGCTGAAGAAGCAGGACTTGAACTTTGCATAGAGAGATTCGCACGGATCGTGTTTTTGCCCGAAGGTAAAGCCGGAGAGGTTGCCGGTGCGTCGGACGCGGGTGAGGACTCCGGAGGAGGTTAGGCGGGAGGTGTGTGTTATTTTTGCCGCTACCGAGGAGGAGGAGGAGGAGGAGGAGGGAGGAGAGATTGTGAAACGGTGGACGGTGGCGAGGCCGTCGAACCAATGGGAGAGGGGGAGGGTAGTTGTCGTGGAGAGGGGGATGGTGTTTCCGGCTGTGGAGGCGCGATAGAGCGTTCCACTGGGGATGTTAGAAGGAGGGAGTGCGTGGGAGTGGGTTACTTACGAGACGTAAGATGGGATTGTACCAATAACTTCTAGGTCTACAGGGTCGGATTGCTCCTCGTGGGTTGTGAACTGCGGCTTCGTTAGCTACATAGCGTCGAGAAAGTAAGGGTTCGATAGCCAGCATACGCCAATATCGTTCGGCCAGTCATTGAATGCAGGAACTGTCTTGGAGGTCATAGTTGGGTGATAGCTCGTGAAGCAAGTCAAACTATAGTGGTGGACAAGATATCCCCATCAAGAACCTTTATAGGTTCACAGTCCGCAGCACAAGACGTGTCCGCCATGCCCAACCTGCAGAGGAAATCTAGTGATTCAGCGGACAGGCTCAACCTTTCCCCGATATCTAGCGAGAATGGTACGACGCCGGCCATGTTGTTGGGTCAGATTCCACCATCGCAAAAACTAGAATAACTGAGAAGGATGCTAGGACCTCTAGAATCCCCCCTCTTTGGGTTGAGGGGGGGGGGGGGGCACAACCAAAAGCCTCTCTCTTAGCCTTGAATTGAGACAAATAAAAAGAAAATTGTAACAGACCTTACTCTGAGAGGTAACTCTAACGTCCTTGAGAGATTCTGAATTTTTACGGTTTTCGGGATATTCCACTCTCGCCCACCGCTACCACAACAAATAGGCTACTCCCAGCATAGCGATAACGTATCGGACCAAGAAGAGGGCTAGACCCAGATAGTTAATAAAATTTCGTGGAAGAAGTGAATCATTGTATGTGAATTTCGCCAAATCCTCACTGGAGAATTATCACCGGAACCAGAGCCCCGATTTAATCACAAGAAAGGAAGTGTGCAACATACCGTGCCATCAGGAATATCCCCTGCTCCTTTAAATTTCCTCTTCTACTGTTGGACGTCAATTGAGGTTTCCAGATTTGATATCTTTGGTGCGTTCTTGCTCGTTCGCTTCTCCTTCCGACCCGCGTCCCGGTTACACTACTTGAGTACTTGGCAACTCATACGGCAGCACCTCGACGTCTTGGCACAGCGCCATGATATCCTATCAATACCAAGGCGACCAGGACACCCTATGAATTTGCAAGCAACCCCCTAAGCACCTGGCACCCCCCCTAAGCACAGTCCCTGCCATGCCAAAAAAACCCCCGATCACTTTCCATCTTCCAAGTTCCAACGCTCAATCCCACTCAAACAACTTGCCTGCCCCCTTTCTTGCCTGCTTGCAAAAATAAAATATTAGACGAGCCCGGGGAGACGTTCGCCCCGCCTCGCTAAAGGTTCCTGCAATAGTACGGTTTTCCGGGCCAAGGTTTGTCCGTCGGCCCACGTGAATGCATGCGTATGATACAATCTGCGGTCTTTCATGCTCACACTCGAGTGACCCGAGGTGATAGGTTGAGAGCGTGCATCGATGATCACTCGGGGAGTGCAGTCGCCAGTCACCACAGTGGTGGGGATGGGTGGGGTGTATCCGCTTTTCTCGGGATCTTCCTCTCGATCAAACCCTACTGTAAGCACTGCACTTCAATAGTTGGGCCTCGCCATTGAACGTCCAAAATTCCCCCTCTTGGATAGGGGACCGAAAACACACCAGAAAACCGACCCCCCCCCCGGCCAGAGCTTGATACAGAAAAAGCAAAAAAGTGCCGCACCTTACCAGCAAAGGCAACTCCAACGTCCTAGAGGGAGCCTTAATTATCCGAACTCTTACGGTACCTCTAGGCCGAAAGAGGCAAAAAAAAGGGAGGGGAAAGGGAAAGCAAAAGAGAGGAGCTTGGATTGCTAGAAACACAAGTCAATTACGCCCCCAATCCGCTGCATCATGACACCGGTACCCCGACGGTGGACGGAGAGACAAGGAGACAAGGAAGGGAGGCAGTCGACCATTTAAAAAGATGAGCTTCATGTAAAACACCCTTTTTCATTTCTCGCTGTTGTCGTAACGGTGGGCGTGCAATGTAAGGCTAGAGTAGAGTAGCGGTACGAAATGTACTGTACTAGGACATATCATACTCCCTTCCCGGCGCCGTCCATATCACACCCGCGAACCTTAGCCTGAACACGCGGACATGTGATATCGTAGAGTATTCATTTCCGCTAGCCTCCCCTCTAACACTGTGACAGTGATGGTAGGGTTATGCCTGGGTCTATGTCACGGCTCCCCCCGCTGAGCCAAATGGTATATGATAGGACGTGATGTTTCCTCGGTACAGTAACGGGACGTTAGGCCCTATCGGAGGAATGGTAAGGAGGGTAAGCCAAAGGTGTCACTGGTCTCGCGTGAGATCTGATGGTAGGCCGAGGGGCAATTTTAAGTGCTCGCACCTTACTAGATATCACATAATGGCGTGATTCCTGATCCGATTCCGTCGGTATTCACCTCAGCGAGTTTACCCCCTCAATATCACGGATAATGGCATACACCCCCGCCGTATCATCAGGGTATTTCCGCGTTCACGAGGTATGAGGCCAGGATACACCCCTATGGCCATGTCACCCGGACTAACCCGTTGCTGGTGCTTTACCCCAGGTGAGCTCCCTCCATACCCTATTCACCTGCGAACAGCCGGAAAGTAAAATACGATATCGGGCAAGGAGAGATGGGGCCGAGAAGCGTTCTGGATATAGCTTGCAAATTGTGATAGGTTGCGGCCCCGTAACTAACTGGCAGCTCGAATAGGGCGGGATACTGTGCACCATCGTTCCATGCTACCGGTATGACGTGCGCCAAACAATCACCTCTGGGATGTGGTAGGGCGAGTCTAAATCTGGCGAGACAAAAGGGACTCTGATTACTGTGAATTTTCTTACGCGGACCGTTTGGTATAGGCGGATCGTATAATCACGATTTGTCCCGTTGTTTTCTCCCCCGCAACGCCCGAGCGCAGTGGCCGCGACGGCAGGCACACGACAAAGGGTTCGATAATGTGGCAACAGTTGCGCGGTGGGTGCCGGGTAAAGCAGCTCGGTCGGCTAATGGCAGTGAAAGGAGTTTTGGTGGTTCCGAGACAAAGCCCCGGTGGTGTTCTCAATCCCCTGATCAACCCACCGACGGTGAGGCCTAGCTTCCGGTACGATACGAGTGGAACGCTCCCGGCGTGGAATGGATGGGCAGGTGGGGGCTCGGGGGTGCCTAAGGGTTTGTCGGTGAGTAACTGGCGGGGGATCTCTTGGAGGGGGCGCACCTCACTGCTGGGGTGGTCGACACTTGGGTTAGGAATTAGTTCGGGGCCGCTTATTAAGCCGTCGGACATTTCCTAATTCCGTACTGTACCCGTCCCAGGCAGAAGTATCCGGGGATTCGAGTCGTGAGTTTGTACGGGCGCTCATATAGGCACAGTTTTTTTTTTTTTTACCGAATACCAGCGACAGGCACAAAAAAGTGGTACGGTGTAGGGGTGGAATATCAACCCTTTGAATAGATGCCAAGGTTTCAAAAGCTGATGGATTGAGGATACAAGCAGTATTAAAAAGGACACCAGTTTAGAGGTTCAGGCACTATGCTCAACAAGCGCTTGATTTGATGGTAAACATGCTGGAGGACAGGTCACCTGCATCATCATTCGCTAAGGTTTTCCTTTGTCAATCGCATAGTATGGGGAGAAATGCTGTCCCGCGAACGTCTTCCTCTCAAGTGTATCACCTCACCGAGACATTACTTCTCCATGTACGAGTGCCACTCTTCTGTGCCTGCAGCTTGTACCGGTGTTTTACGGATAACTTCTCGGCTGGGACAAGTACCGGTACCCTCGTTCTGCAGTACCAGTACTCGGACTGGTATGCATCTTAGCTTCCTAATCAGGAAAAGTAATGCTAACATACTTCTCGTCACAGTAAGCCTCATGCCCGTTAATTGGGCCAGCTACATACAAGCACTCGTACAGACCCAACTTCGGCAATTCAACATACAAGTACTCGTACAGTATTTACAGGGGATCTTAAGCGCGGAGGTTGGTGGTGGCAGTTGTCAGGCTGCACGGGTTGGGGGGCCCTGCCCCCCTGGTCTGGAGTACGAACTGGAGCCGAGGAGCCATGTGCGAGGTACTTGTACCGGTGGTCCCAAGATTTCCCCCTCTACCGGTAACTTGCTCGAGTAGAGAAGGGGGAAATGCACACCGGTTTCCGAGACAAACAAAACACTAACCGTGCCAAGGCTAGACTCTACCGGGAGCCATTCCACCGCACCCGCACTCGATCCGATTACCGGTGCTGGTACTTGTGCTCGAGTTCTCATTTCCGAGTGTTGGTCCGCGGTGCCTGGAACAATACCGGCACACCACCCCGACCGGGTGCATTAAGGAAATAGCGCAAGCAACCTAAGCCGCACTGATTCCAAACTCATCCCCCCCGCAGCGCGGGGGCGAAAACAACATCCTGTGGTGGGGGAAACCTTATCATACTCGTACAAGCAGCCCAGAACACTAACTACATTCTTCCACTTAGTAATATTGGTTAATTGGACTCCCAATGTAGTTAACAAGTAGCCAATCCTGCTTTCTTGGCAGAGCCCACGTGCCCCTTGGCATCTTTGAAAGCTGATGCGGGGTGCGACATTTGGGTCCTAGTAGTCTCAGCCTAACTCTAATCCCATAACTCGCCCAAAGTTGCTATTCATACTTCCAAAATCCTCTCCGATCTCTCTCGAGCCCATTGTCTTATGAGGGGAAAACACAGTAAGAGTCGTTGAGGAGCTTCAGCGGTTTGAAGTTGGGTATATTCTCAGCTTCGAATTGTTCCCCCACCATGTCGAATAACTTATCCCCGAATTTCCATATCAACCGCAGCCATTCTCATTACCGTGTGCGGGGAAAGCACCGGTGCTCTATCCCTCTTTTTTGATTTAGATTCCACATTTTCTCAGGAGCCTCACTTCTCCCAAGGTCTTCGGTGGATAGGTCCCGGAACGGCGTAAACCCCGGGGGCACGGTCTGGCCAAGACAGGACCCATCGAGTGCCCGCGACTGTCCACAGTCATCCACCGGCAATCTTCACCTTGTCCACCAAGAGCTCGAGCGGCAATATCACACGAGCTTACTTCGCTCTGATGCTCACTACGGCGATCAAGCTTGATGAGACCGAGGTGACCGTTGCCAGCCACTACCCGCCTTCCTGCTCTTGAATCGCCCCGTGCCGGTACCTGAGCTGTTCACTTGCCGGGCTCATAATAGCCACATTCGAACATTCATACCTTCCCCTTCACCGGATTCTGGGGGCGGGCGACTTGGGTTCATATACTGTTCGTAAATTCCCAATTCCCTTTCCATTTCAGCGTCTGTCGTCCCTTTCGTTCTTTTCCACACTACCATTGTTTACCCTTTTGAGCCCCCGCTTCCTTTGCCGTTTCCATCTCTCCTCTCCTTAGCTCGGTTTGGCTGATTACTATCCTTGTGCGTTACAATGTCGCTCAGATCAATCCTTAAGACTGCCCTCCTGATGGCCACGACGGCGTCCGCCGGGCGAACACTCTTCGTCGGTTCCGGAAAGGGCACGATCAAGAGCTATGAATTCGACGAGACGGCCAATGCCCAGGGTTTGATGAAGGAGCTTGCATCGACTGCCGAGAGCAGTCCGGCGGCCACATGGCAGACAATCTTCGGGGATTTGCTGTACTCTGTCAGCGAGACGAGCGTGCCTGTTGATGGCGTCGTCACGGCCTACCAGATTGGCCCCGACAAGAAATTGATCAAGAAGGGAAGCGCAAAGGGCACGCCTAGTCCCGTGAGCCTTGGTGTTGGGAAGGGCGGGAAATTGGTTATTTCTGCCTCCTAGTAGGTTCCCGACTGTGCTGAGCTGTATGCGTGTATAAGTGCAAGGCCAACATTTCGTTTTAGCGCAGGTGGAGGAGTGGATACCTTCGCAGCAGATGGGTCCGGCGGTCTCACCCACAGCCAGAAATTCGCCTACACCCTCGATAAACCTGGCCCCGTTCCGGACCGTCAGGAGGGGGCCCACCCGCATCAGGCCATCATGGACCCAACCGGGGAATACGTCATCGTTCCCGACCTCGGGGCGGACAGAGTGAGAGTGTACTGTGCCAACAGCAGCACTACAATCAACGAATTGGAGTCTATCAAGACCCCCGACGGATTCGGCCCCAGACATGCTATCTTCTACCCTGTTGGTAACCCAAAGGCGACGCATATGTTCGTGGTCGGTGAACTCGCGAACGAAATCATGACCTTCAAGATCAGCTACGCCCACGGCCAATTGAAGGCGGAGAATATTGCGGCGGTGAGCACTTTTGGCACTCAAAGTGTTCCAACCGGTCCTCCCGCCCCCACCGCGGCCGAAATAGCCCTTTCTGTAAGCCCCCCCCCTCCCCACAAACACCCTATACACATACCTAGGAACTAACCACGCGCACTCCAGCCCGACGGAAAATACCTCTACGTCTCCAACCGCCACGACAAGACACAAGCCAACGGAACCCAGGACTCCATTGCCACCTTCAGAGTTTACCCGGACGCAAAGCTCACCTTTATCCAACTCAGCGCCTGCGGCGGCATCTCACCGCGCCACTTCTCGATAACCAAGGACGGGAACTGGGTCGCCATCGCTAACGACGGAAGCGGCAACATTAGCATCTTTAGACGGTATCCGGAGAACGGGACCATTTCTTCCTTGCCGATCGTCTCAACAGCCAATGATGGCGCTTCGTGCGCTACGTGGTACGAACCTAAAGTTGAGTATAGTTGAGCGGAGGGAGGGTGGATGGAAGAGCGTTTTCATTACTGTTATCCTGTTTGATAAAGTGAAATTGAGCGCTTTGCACGATATACCGTACGACAGTCCTTCTTGCTATCGTGGTTTAGAAGTTTGAAGTATAATATTCTTTACGATACCGGGTGCTCTATCACGAATTCGGAAATGACCGGTTCGGGTTGAATTCGTAACGTACGGGGGTTTTCAAGTGATATGCCCCGAACGTAGCTATCATATCATAATCCAAGCGGGGAGAAAGTCTTTTCGTCCAAGGGAAAAAAAAAGCCAATAACATTGCCTCTTTTCTTTGAAATACAATCACCTTTACTACCCTTGAGACCCCTCCCTCGACCGCGCCACTGTGACTGAAACCACCAAACCAAAGCCGTACCACTACCTACACCCAACAACCTATTATAGAACGGCGGTACCGTGCTCGATCACGGCACGGTACAATACCGTACGAGCATCATACCGTAATAGCGCCATTAGCCACGCTCTTCCCTAACCCACAAACACCCCCAATCACGACTGGTATTATACAAGTATGGTAAGTACGGTGCATAAGTTAAGTTGGGACCCCCACAGCGATGTACACCGTCCGATACTTATTTACTGGGCGTTGATGGGCAGCTCATCTCCTAATTACTACTGTACCCCCCCAGAGCGTTCATAATGATGCTTGGATTTTTGTCGATTCTCATATCGTAATTTATGAAGTGTCATATACAGTACGGTACAGTACCGAGGTCCTTGAGGGTTTCCGGGGCTAATTATCGTTCCTCCTTCTGAGTAGTGCTACGCTTGATATGTAACGTAATGTACCATTCCCTGCCGATCACTCGGGAATATAAGTTAGGTTACGCTAGGTTTCGTGGAGAGTGCTGGGAGCTGGAGACAAATGATATTTCTACTGCTAAGCATCCCCCCCCGGTGCACTCATTAATTGCGAGAGTAACTGTTAGATTTGTATAAGATGGTAATGGTAGTAGATAGAGCGGTGTTGAAGCCGTAAATTAAAGACCAGATGTAACGGGCAGTGCAATCTAATCTTTTGTTTTTTTTTCCCGTTTTCGCTATTTCCGGAGGTTCTACGAGTATTATGGATTGATTAATCCGTAGGCGGTGGGGGGTTTTTCGTCACGAACTAGGGGGGGAGGGAGGGATATCAGAATCTTACCAAGGCCAAGGATGGCGACCCCCTGATCTTGGAATATCTCTTTGGGCTCCCTGTTTTCCCAGTAAACTGTAGGAAAGGAGGGGGAAAAAAAATTAGCATAAAAAGCCGCCGGTGCCTGACATGGTATAATAAAGCGAGAATCCCCCCTCCTCTTTGCCCGTGCCCTCTAGTCTATCCACTCCCGAACTCAGAGACCCATCCCACCCCATTGGATACTATTAACCAAAACTCCATCAATAACAGGGGGGAAATCCAGGAAATCTGTACTTGTAGCAAACAATACAGTAAGCACGAAGGTTACAACCAACCAACCGCCCGGGAAAAGGAAGTTTGTGAACGCTAGCGCAGGGCAGGTGAAAGATCTATCCACACATTCAACAGCAACAGTAAGAAAGAAAAAGGGGAAAAAGAAAAGAAAAAAGTTTTTTTTTTCTTCTTCTTGGAATCAACTACTGTAGCTAACCGTCATCCCACGATAACCTTAATTTGGGCGTGGTCCAATGGGATTGCGAATCGGTTGAGGAGATCCGAGACGTTCATGCGGGATGGATGATCGGTGCCGTATCGTATCGGGAAAACGCTGATCCCTCTACTCGTAGAGGAAGGGTTGATGGGGATATCGTGCCGTAGCGGATTCCGGGAGATTTTTTTTTTATATCGAATACCGGTGCCACGGTGGTGTTATCGTTATGTTTTAAGGTTGCGGGGAGGAGTGGTGGCGGTTTGATACAGTACGAGTACTCGTACGGTACATGTAGGCTGGTAGGATGTGTGTCTGTGTATGTGTTTAGGCCGTCTTGGGGAAGCTGCCGGGTGGCTGCTCGTGGGATTCCTTGCCCCATTTCGGATCGCCCGAATTGGGCTGGGCGGTTGGGGTACGGTACGGTACTGGTATACCTGGGTACTCGAGTACCGGCAGGCTTGGGGTATTTATCATAGGTTGTTGTTTTGGTGTAATGCTAGGCCCGTATCATAACCTGCTCGCTGCCGGGGTTGATGGATTTCTTATCGTTACATTCCAGCTTAGAGTACCGTACTACCGGTACAATGCAGAATAGAGACACACCAGGTCAAAGCGGTATTTTACCGGTATCTCGGATAGCATCCGACGGGATTCTGATCTGAGGGTTCCGGGGAACATGGGAAACTGGTGAGGACGCCCTCCTACGGCGCTGGGTCTCTGGGAAGGTCTCCGCATATGGCAATCCGAAGTTGAGTAGTGCGGTCCCAAGCAAGAGATATCTGGCTTAGACGGTCGAGGAACTCAAGTGCTTCAGGAAGTGAAGATTCGGAAAGAAAAGGGGGGACGAAATACTTCAATTTTCCGCATCTCATGTTTGTTCTAGCTCACAGAGTTAGCGCCGGTTGTGATCTTTGGGCCGCTCGGCAGCTCTTATAGTCGAAGCATAAGCAACATTCCTGAAATGGACTAACTAGATACGCAAATGTGTCTGATAGACTGCCCAGAGGGTAGAGATCTACCGGTACTCCGACAAGGAATCATATGCCTATGGATCAGAACTGCCCCCCCCCCGCCGCCGCGCTGGGCAATCGTAATATTAAGCATTATTTTGCAGTTTAGATGGTAGTACTTTCTACCCGGGCCTGGTTCCCAACGCTTCCTACGGCCTCTCTCGGATTGGACGATGTACTGGTATGTATGTAGCTTCCCGGAACCTTGGGGCCAATGTGTACTATAGCAAAGAAGTTCGGAATAGGGAAAGAGTCCCAAGATGCGTGGTCGAGTTATGAGGGCTAAGAAACCCTAGGGAGCGGAGAACAAAGGGAGAGAGGGGGGGGGAAGACGCTTTCACTCGATTGGGGTTCTTTCTTTTTCTTTTTAGGACTTGCACTAGCATCTTGCAATAGCATCTAACAGCGAATCGAACTGAACATCGAGGCGTAAGTTTCTAAAAATCTTGGACAGATGCCGAGTGAGATTTTGTGTATCTAGATAATGCGTTCCTGGGTTTATTTGATGTACGCGCAGCGGGTTCAGCAAACCCGAGTGGGCATCATATCATCCACCCTCTCCAGACCTTTGCTTGATGTTTTTTTCTCTCCATCCCGCGCTACTCTGCACTCTACCACATTGCTAGCGGTCAGGGGGCATGTCTCCACTCCCTCTCGGCTTCAGAAACTGCGGTGATCCGGGAATGGAGTTAGCCGTGAAAGCCAAGAGCCTAAAACTGCTGTCAGCCAGTATTGGCGCCGGGCCAAGGAAATGCAAAGTTTCAAGACTCGGAATCCGCTATACGAGCACGTGTTCCCATGTCTCTCACACTCGTATAGTGCCAGCCACCACTACCCGTTTAGAATCCCGGTCAAAACATGCGGGAAACTGACCGGGTTCATCTTCAATTGGCAAACACTGCGATGAAGGAATTCGCTTGAGGCGAAAATAATGCGGGTGGAGCTGGGAGAAATTTTCGGTCGGCCATTGGGTGGGTTATGTCTGCTCTTAGAAGGGAGGCAAGAGTAGGGAGGTGGTACGGCAAACAGCAGCACAACCAGCTATCAGCACTGTGTTGGGGAGTGGAATTGGGGTAGAGTAGGGCTTAATCAGGCTTTGTCAGTGGACAAGTCTCCGACGGAATGGTAGTTTTTTGGCCAAAAAAAAATTACACCAAGAAATTTCAACTATGAGCGGTGTATAGCTGATGTGAAATGATGGCCAGAGGCAAACGAAACGAACACTCTTAGATCAACACATCCGGAACCACACCGACCTCATTACATCATTAAAACCAACCACATTAGAGCGAGAATTCCGCACTACCCGTTGGTGACCTCTACAGCGCAGCGACGGCAGCACCAACAAAAAGGGCGGCCGCAATACCCGTACCCCGCGAGCTACCGGAGTTCGACTTTGCCGCCTCCTTCACATCATCCTCGTCACGACTCTCGGTTACACCGAGATCAATGCAAGTTTGTCTGCAGCAGAATTAGTGGACGCTCAGAAGGGAAAGCCTTTCTCCAACGTACCCAACCTTGCAGCACCCATTCGTTTGGCACTTCTCACCAAAAAGACAGTACGATCCTGAGCACCGATCAGCAGCAATTCCGGAAACCTATCGACACCACTTACCATCACCATAACCACAGCACACTTGTCCACAATACTGCACATCACAAACAGTGGGTGTTTCCGAGGGACATGTGGTCTGGCGAACGAACAACTTGGGGATTGAGTCGAGAGGGGTGGACCGTCGGGCAAGCCCGCCGCGCAGCGTTGCCTTGAACCCGTTCGAATCTGCCGCGACGGTTAAAACGAAGAGCGCAAAAGCAACGACGGAGAAAATGGACTTCATCTTCGGGTGTTTGGGATTATTGAGCGTGCTGATTTGGTGGGTTCCCAGGTGCAGCTAGGCGTGGTTATCGTGAGGTCGAAAGCGGAGGTAGCGAAAGAGCGGTCCACAGGCTCACTTTATACGAAGCCCGGCTCGAACCACAGCCTTCCCAATCGCCCCGGGGTGGAAATCGGTTGGATGCCGTAAAAACAAACTTGAAATCCACTATCTCCGTATCTTCCTATGATCCCCGGATCCAGAGACATATGCCCCTGAGAAAGGTTAGCGCTTCCCTGACCATAGCAATATTAGCCCAAGGGATGCGCTGGGTCTTGTTAACCGGCATCCACACTTTCGCTAACCTACCGAGCTAACCCTATCGTGGGTGACGGGCTGATTTCTGCTGATTTTTGACAGTGGATTTCAGTGTTCCCGTGGTACAGTACGAGTACAATGTGATGCTTGAGTACTCGTACCAGTTCCTGCTCGAGACTTGGTCACCGCTCATTGCCGGTAAGCATGCGAACCTGCCACTTATGGATATCAGTGGCTACACAAACTCTATTTCGTTGTCGCTCTTATTGGTTACACGATCCGCCCCAGCTCAGGGTACGGTACTAGTACAAGCACCAGCCCGCCCACCACCCTAAACTGAATACAGCTTATTGTTTTTTTGTTTTTTTTTTAAAAAAGGAAACCTCCAGTGGTTCCAGGACACAATTTCCATGTGCAACCTCCTCCTGTGGCACCAAAACTCTGATAATTGTACCGTACTCGAAGTACTATGAACTGAGTTCAAGGCACCATGCACCTCGCAAATAGTGTACTGTTCGCAGCAGCGGTATTGTTTCGAATGTTTGCAGGTATCAATGTGGTCCTTTCCTATGATAAAAGCATTAGCATTCTCCGCTAGCACACAAGCACATCCTGATTCTTCCCCACCCCAGCCAATATCGTGGGCCAAGTGAGATTCTGGCTGCATCCGGGAGGGGGTGAAACGGGGCAGTGCCCCTAAACTCGGTTCTACGAGTACCGCAGACCGTACCGTACCGCGCAGTACCAGTACGAGTAAGGTAAGGTGCCCCCCTCGTGAGAAGATTTAACGTGTAACCTGTTGCGCCGGTATTTACCATGCACCTGGAGTGTCATACGAGCATGCCTCTACCGGTACTCGTACCGAACCCCCATGATAATAACAAATTTCCCCGAGCAGGCTCCCTGGACCGACAAACTTGAGATATCCCTGATCCTGGGGCTCATTCTTGGCATGAAATGATAACAAATCTAGAGTGCGCCAAAAGCCATGAGTAGCTGGCAGGAACAGTTCACCATTCAGGTGGTTGCAGGTGGCGCTGGATATGATAGTGTTCAGTCTCGCAACCGAGCGAGCCATGGCGCGCGCCAGTCGGGGATTCTCTGCTGTCCATGGAGCTCCTTTAGGAAGCAAGGGATCAAGATTTCTGGTTCGCGATCTATGTTTACCGTATCCTCTCGACTTACCTGTTATTTTTGCCAAGATAGGGCGTTGCTTGGAATTGAATGGTGCCGTGCAACTAAAATCGACCCTGTCGACAACTACAATCAATCGAAATTGCTAATCAACAGGCTCTGCGTAAAGATGAATAATGTTTAAATGTGTACGGTACGGCACTATCTTAATAACTCTGTACGAAAATACGACATAGTAGAGAGAGGATACCACGGGCACGTTAAGCAAGGAGGAATTTGGTATGAAGGTAGATTGGTAGTAGTTCTTGTCCTTAATCTCTTTAAGTGTAACGGGCAGGGTCTGAGGGTCGGGTAGCCCAAGGCACACCACGGATAGTAACAGGCAAGAGTCTGGAGGCAAGGTCTAGGAACGGGAGTATGACCGAAGCGAGTTGTACAAGGCGCGAGGGTTCAGGGGTCCAGGGTCAGGGTTCAGAGGTTCAGGAGGACATGAAGTAGAAGAGAGTGTAATTCCTAGGTACAGGTGTCTGAATTATATCTAATTTTATTTAAACTCGCCACGCCAAAACATGGCTTATAGTCAAGCGATCATCTCTCGTACACCCAGCATAAGGCCGGGCAGGCCCCCAGTGGACCACAAGCGGACTGGGACTGCCTCGAAAGTCACAGCCTGGGGCCGGGGTCCCCACGATACACTGGCGCGCTCACCCAAATAACAACTACCATACAAAGCGTACAAGCCTCCAAGTCCCAACCGTCAAACACTCCCACAAGCAAGCAAACATGGAAGCTAAGTACAAGACCCATCATAGACTCTCGCCTCCCTCGCCCCAACCGACAAACCGACACCCAACCCGACAGGAACAGAGCGACCGAAGTCCTTGGTCCCACCAAGCGAGGGGAAGTGTAACGGACAAGGTCTAAGGGTCGGGTAGCCCAAGGCACACCACAACTGGGACAGGCGAGAGTTCGGAGGCGAGGTCTAGGAACAGGCGTACAACCAAAGTGAGTTGTACGATATTCAGGAGGTCAGGGGTTCAGGGTCAGGGTTCAGGGGTTCCAGAGGACGCGAAGTATGAGAGAGTGTAATTCCTAGGTACAGGTGTCCGAATAATATCTAAGTTTATTTATACTCGTCGCGCCATACATGGCTTATGATCGAGCGCCCCCCCGACAGGAGCTTAACGCCGGTCGGGATCCACCGATGGGACTGGGGCCCTGCTACCCCCACAAAATACAGGCAACTAAATACAAGATACCAATCCTCCGGCCCCGTACCGTTAACCACCCTAGTGAGCAAGCACCAACACCAAAGCTAAAGTACAAGTTCATCAACAGTTCAGCACCCACCCGTCCCACCTAACCAGGCCATGGGAATCCCAGCACAATCAAAAAATCACTACCACTGGCAGTAACACTCCAGTCTCGTGGCAAAATTCCTCATAATATTATAAATTAAATCCACTCAGCACAACCCCACCCAGCACCCAAGAAAGCGTTCCAGCACTAGTCCCCTAGGGGCCAGGACAGAGGGGCGGTACGAAGCCAGTCTCCCCTAAGCAATCAATCGAGGCAGGCACAAAAACCAAACCCCTTGCACCGTAATAACCAACCCGAGACACTCCTAGGGCCAGCCTTTCCATCATAGGTATCCCAACCTATGTAGAGTCACCCATGTCCACCTCTTCTTCGTTTTCCTCCGTATCCTCAGACTCTTGGGTAGCTGGACAGGGGCGAGAAGGGCAGACAGGTGAGTGGGATTCGTGTGGGCCATCACAGTTCACACACCTGGGTATGGTATGGCTGCATGGACGACCGCGAAGACGGCAGGTAGCTGTGGGGCAGGAGTGATCCCCAGTAGAGTGAGGGAGGAGGCACCAGCGGCAGGAAGCAGGCAGGGTGCATTTGATGCTGTGGTGGCCAAACTTGTGACAGTTGGCACACTGGGTGTATTTGTTGAAGCGCAAACGGCGTTCGGTACGGTAGGTATTGGAGAAGGCGGAGAGGCGTTTGCCGACAAAGGAGGGCGCCTTAGGTCCAGTGATGGAAATAACAATAGTAGAGGTGAGCTTGCCGATCTGTGCTATATCAGAGGTGAGCCACCTAGGCTCTTCAGTAAGTGATAAGCCTGAGTTAAAGGTGGTGAGCTCTTGGGCAAGTAATGCCAATGAGGTAGAGGTAGCAATGCCATGTACCAGAAGCTGGGTGGCGGGGGTGTCGAGGTGGACAGTGGAGGCACCAGGAATGAGGTGCAGGAAGGTGCCAACTTTGGTGTTGACAGTCGTGGCTCTAACCGTATCCATAGTGGTGAGAGTAACATGTCCATCCCAAAAGGAGACGGATTGGATAATAGTGGAGGACAAGGCCTGGTTGATGCTGTCGCGTAGCTGTACAGCAGTGATGGTGAGGGGGGTAGCGTCTCGTTTGATGATGAGCTGACGCTCGTGCATGGTGAGGCCCTTTTTCTTTTCGGTAAGGGGCTTAGTCGAGGTAGAGGAGGGTTTGGCTGGCTTGGGGCCAGGCTTTGTAGGTTTCTGGGAGGGCTTCCTTGCCCTCCGAGCGACGGTAGCCCAAGAAGGAGGGGCTGCTGGGCCAGGAGGTTGGGCATGGGGAAGGGTAGGAGGTGGAGGAGGAACAGAGGGTTGCCCTGTAGTGTCGGTAGTAGGAGGTGCCGGAGGGGCAGTGGTGGGAGCAGGCTGAGAAAAAGCGAAGCCACGAAGGGTGTCTAGTTCCTCAGTAAGGGTGGTGATGTGCTCGGTTAGCCCATCGGTCGCTTTCCTGTAGTCTTGGTGCAAGATTTGCATCATATGGATCATAATGGGAAAGGCTTTTGCAAAACTGAACGGTGCTTCAGTCTTCTCTGCCTCTGCCAACTGTTCAAACATTTGCATGAAGGCGCCGTTAGGAGCTGCAAAGTCTTTGCCTGAATATCATATAGTCGAGGTGGTACCACTGCGTGGCCGTTTAAGCGAGGGAGGGGCTTGAGCCCGAAAGACAGGTGATAAGCGACCCTGCCCACAAAACTGTGAGGCCCAGTCAGGCTGTGTAGGGGGTTGCGGAACGAGAGGAGGTGAAGACTCCATGATGATAGTGATGAGGAGAAACTTTGACCCCAGTCGGGTCAAAGAGAAAGTATCGTGGTGGATAAGATAATTCCCAGGAACGTAAGAAAGGGTGTCCTAATAATATCTAAGTTCTTATTTTTACTCGCTACCGCCAAATCATGGCTTACGAACGAGCGCCCCCCCGACAGGAGCTTAACACCGGTCAGGATCTACCGATGGGGCTGGGGCCCTGCTACCCCCGCTAAAAACAGGCAACTAAATACAAGATACCAAGACCTCCGAACCCAAACCATCCTGACCCGTCAGAGACACCAAAGCAACCCCACAAGCCAACACCCTCGTGAGCAAGCAACACACGAAAGCTAAGTACAAGTCCATCAACAGTCCCAGCACCCACCCGTTCCACCTAGCCAGGCCACGGGAATCCCAGCACAATCAAAAAATCACTACCACTGGCAGTCAAACTCCAGTCTCGCGCCAAAATTCCTCATAATATCATAACAAAATAAATCCACCCAGCACATCCCCACCCGGCACTCAAGAAAGCATTCCAGCACTAGTCCCCTAGGGGCCATGACAGAGGGGCGGTA